TCATCATCATCATCAGCATCAGCATCAGCATCAGCATCATCATCAGCATCATCATCATCATCATCATCATTATCATCATCATCATCATCATCATCGTCATAGTCATCATCATCATCATCATCATCATCATCATCATCATCATCGTCGTCGTCATCATCAGCATCAGCAGCAGCATCAACATCAGCAGCAGCATCATCATCATCAGCACCATCGTCATCGTCATCATCATCATCATCATCATCAGCATCATCAGCATCATCATCATCATCGGCATCATCGTCATCATCATCAGCATCATCATCATCATCATCGTCATCATCATCAGCATCATCATCGTCAGCCACATCATCATCAGCATCATCATCATCGTCATCATCATCAGCATCATCGTCAGCATCATCAGCATCATCATCATCAGCAGCATGATCGTCATCAGCATCATCATCATCATCATCATCCTCCTCATCATCATCCGCATCAGCAGCATCATCGTCATCATCATCATCAGCAGCAGCATCGGCATCAGCATCATCAGCCGCATCACCATCACCATCATCACCAGCATCATCAGCAGCAGCATCATCATCAGCATCAGCATCAGCATCAGCATCATCATCATCAGCATCATCAGCATCATCATCAACATCGTCATCAGCATCATCATCATCAGCATCATCATCATCAGCCGCATCAGCATCATCATCATCAGCATCATCGTCAGCATCAGCATCGTCATCATCGTCATCCTCGTCCTCAATCGTATCCGCATCCTCATCCTCATCCTCATCCTCATCCTGTTCCTCCTGCTTCTCCTGCTTCTCCTCCTCCTCCCGCTCAGTCTGCTCCTCATGGTCCTCATGATCCTGTTAATCCTGCTCCTGCTCCTCCCCTCCTCCTCCTGTTCCTCCTGCTCCTCCTGTTTCTCCTGCCACTCCTCATCCTCCTCCTCATCCTCCTCCTCCTCCTGCTCCTCCTCCTCCTCCTGCTCCTGGTCCTGCTCCCCATGCTCCTGCTCCTGCTCCTGCTCCTGCTCCTAATCCTGCTCCTGCTCCTGTTCCTCCTCCTCCTCCTCCTCCTCCGCCTCCTCCTCCTCCTCATCATCATCATCAGCAGCATCATCATCATCCTCTTCCTCCTCCACCTCCTCCTCATCCCCCCCCCCCCTCCTCCCCTCTCCCCCTCCCCTCCCCCCATCCACCCCTCCCCCCTCCGCCCCTCCCGTCCTCCTCTCCTCCTCCTCGTCCTCCTCCTCCTCCTCCTCGTCGTATCTTCACTCTTAGGCTGATTAGTATTATTCTTATTAGTAGTAGCAGTATTCGCCGTCGTCTTCTTTGTCGTATTCTTCTTACTAGTACTATTAATAGTCGCATTATGCTTATTGATTTTCGTATTATGTGCAGTCGTCTTCGTATTCGTATTCGTCTTATTCGTCGTCGTATTATTGTTATTCGTGTTCACCTTATTATTCATAGTATCCCCGTCATCCTCCTCCTCCGCCTCCTCCTCCTCCTCCTCCCTCCTCCTCCTCCCTCCACCTCCTCCTCCTCCTCCTCCACCTCCTCCTCCTCCTCCTCCTCCTGTTCCCCCTGTTCCTCCTCCTCGTCCTGTTTTATGCTCCCTTCCTTTGGAGGCGGCCCCGAGGGAACCGCCCCAACACGAGTCCCACGAGCTCAACCACGAGTGGAGCCAGCAGCGGGTGGCGCCACTGCCACCTCTGCCACCGCGTTGGGCTCCACGGCAGACTTGCCCGCCTCGGGCGGGTCAGGCCCGCGAAAACGAACGGGCACAGCAGGGGCGAGCACACCCTGCGCGCGGTCAAACTCGACGGGACCCTCAACCTCAGAAGCGACGGAACGGAGGCCCTCCACCCACCCCGACTCACGAGGCTCCCGCGGAGGGAAGACAGGAAAGGGGAGAGGAAGGGGGGATCCCGAGGAAGGCCCCCTGCCCTGTCGCAGCGCCCTCGAAGAATGGCGGCCCCAGCCCGTGGGAGGGGCACGGGGCCTGCCGATCTGGAGCGCCCAGCAGGGCGCCATGTGCCCCACAACGCGAGCACAAAAAAAAAAAAAAAACCCGGAGGATTGCACAAAAAAACCCGAAGGATTGCACAAAAAAACCCTGGATTGCACAAAAAAAACCCTTGAACGAAGGATTGCACAAAAAAACCCACCACTCCTTCGGTAGGTCCACCAGCCCACCACAGGCGATGGGACGGGTGGGCACGAGGCAAAATATCAGGAACGCCAGGGCAAGGACGAGAGACGACACTGCAGCGATACATCCCCGATCGACCGCGGGAGGCGCACCCCCAACGCCCACGGACCAGTTTGACCTGATAGCCCCGAGGGTCAGAGACAAAATCCAGCGGGTCGAAACGGGCCCACGTCAGAAAAATCAGCGCGCGCCCAGTGGTACAAGATCCCACCCATGTACTAGGCTACGTGACGGCTGGCCCACCAGGCCAGGGAAAGTCTGCGAGCCCAGTCGTCGTCCCTGGGATGAGCCCTGGCCCCGCGCTTAGCTAACTCATCCGCCAGCACGTTGCCACGAAACTGCAGCCAGGACAAACCTCGTGTTTGGGCGTCGGGCCGGGTTTTGTGAGACGGGACCCAGCGAACCGAAACCTCGTCGGCCCCCAGGTCTTGCAACTTAAACCAAATCTGGCCTCCTAATAGAGACGGCTCGGGGGAACGCATCGAGCCTTTCCCGCGGCCACCCCATCAACGATAGCATGGCAGTCGGTGGCGACCGTGATGGGTGCGGCCGCAAACGACAGACACTGGAAACAGGCCCACAGCTAAGCAAGGCCTATATCCTGCAGGGCCGTGGGGAGAAAGCCGAAACACGCTCCTTGCGAGTTGCCATGCTGATCAACAGAGACCACCGCCCAACCCCCTCAAGATCAAAGCGGGAGATCTGGGTCGAGGAGGCTTCCGTCGATGACCACAGTGCCTGTGAAGACGCCTCCCGCCAACGGCCTGCCAGATATGACAAGCCCAGACTGATCGGGAGGTGGTTGCAATCGACGCTTCGAGTCGACTAGGCAACGGCACAGCAACGCATCGTCCTCACCGCACGCCGCCCCAGCCTGGGACACGGCGTCAAGACCAAGGCTGCCACGCACACGCTGGGAAACATCATAACGAAACAGCCGATTCGGGGTGTCACCCGCTTCCTGGCTACAGATCCTGCAGGTCGCGGACTCAGCAGCACGCGAATGGAACAGTCGATGTTGCGTCCACAGACCCCCAGCGACCCGCATGGACAGGAGGAGGAGGAGGAGGAGGAGGAGAAGGAGGACAACACTCGAATGGAACGACTGGGCCTGCGCATGTTTCACAAGCTCGAGCATGGGAGGGCCAGGCAGCGATTCGGGCCCCGTCGAACCCGCCAGCCCCTCCATCAAGACACGCCCGGCACCCAGACCTACAGGCTTGCCTCACGTGCCGGGCCAGACATGCTGCAGATCGATCGCCGTGCCCCCCGCCATCTCCCACCGATTCCACCCGACCGCCTTCCAGCATGAGCGAGACAGCGTGGCCAGGACGGCCGAACAGGGCCCCATGACTTTGTTAGGGAGGGAACCGCAGACCTTGTCGAAGGTCCCAGCCATGAAGGCAAGCGAGAAACAGTACTCCAGGACCGCACGGCCCCAAAACTGAAGCGGCAACCTGTTGGCCGCATAAACGGAATCCGTTTTGGGGGCCGCCAACAACGACGCAAAGTGCAACGTGCGAGACCGCCCCGAAGCGGGGCCAAAAATAGCCGAGGCCGACGTGGCCCTGAAACTGTCGAGGGTTCTGGTGGAACCCTCGTGACCTGGCACCGTACAGCGGCGGTTCCTTCAGACATGAAAACCCTGCTCACCCCCCCCTCCTCCTCCGCCTCCTCCTCCTCCTCCTCCTCCTCCTCCTCCTCCTCCTCCCTCCTCCTCCTCCTCCTCCTCCTCCTCCTCCTCCTCTCCTCCTCCTCCTCCTCCTCCTCCTCCTCCTCCTCCTCCTCCTCCTCCTCCTCCCCTCCATCCCCCTCCCCCTCCCCTCCTATCTCCTCCCCTCCCCCTCCTCCTCCTCCTCCTCCTCCTCCTCCTCCTCCTCCTCCTCCTCCCCCTCCTCCTCCTCCTCCTGTCTTCTCATGTGGCCCCCGAACTACTTGTGCACAACAAACCCGTCCTCCTCTTTTTGACTCCGCATGGACTCAAGCAACGATAGGCTGGAGCGTCTTTAATGTCAGCTTGTGATTCACGAATCCGTGGGGGGGGGGGCGCGTTTAAAACATTGGTTCTTGTTCGGGCGAATCGCGGGGGGGGCCCGCCAGATTGAAAATCGATGGCGGCGGCGCCGGTGATTAGCGCCGACGCCCGGCCGCCAGCGAGAAGGCGACATACAGCACAGACTTGGGGGAGGGGGGGGCAGGAGGCAAGGGCGAGCCAGGGCGCCCCCCTTTTTGTCGAACCGATGCGCCACGGTGGCGACAGCTGGCCTGCGACCAAGGCGGGCTGGACGAAAAGGGGGGGTGCAAAATGGGGAATTGCCAAGCAGCTGACGACGCTGACTTTCCAAGCGCCTCCTGGCGCCGAAGGTGGCCATGCGTCGAGGATTGGCCCCTCGGCTGGGCGACCGAAACCAGCTGGGCGCAGCAGGTCTCGCAATTCCCCCCGTCCTTCTCCTTCCCTGGAGCTTTCGTCCGACCCGAACAAGCCGGCCAGTTCTTCTCCCCCCTTCTGTCGTGGTCGTCGTCGCCACCGCCGCCGCCGCCGCCGTCGTTGGTTTCCTCGTCGTCGCCCTCGCCGTCGCCGTCGGTTTCCTCGTCGTTGCTTTTCCTCCCTTATTTTCCCCTCCTCCTCCCGCCCCCATGGATCGCGCGATTACACAAAAAAATGTCGCGCCCCGTGGGGTCTATAAATCGACCCAGGGAGGGGCACCCAGTTGTTAATCACAAGCTGACGTTATGCGTCCTCCTCCTCCTCCTCCTCCTCCTCCTCCTCCTCCTCCTCCTCCCCCTCCTCCACCTCATCCTCCTCGCGGGAGGAGGAGGCGGGGGAGGAGCAAGAGAGGAAGGTGGAGAAGAGGGATAGTTTAGCCACTCTTTGCCCTCCCCCAGGAGGACGTGGCGGAGGAGGGGAGGAAGAGGAGGAGGAAGAGGAGGAGGAGGAGGAGAAGGAGGAGGGGAGAAGGAGGGGGGGGAGGAGATAAAAGGAGGGACGGAGGCAGGGAGGCTGAGGGGAATGAGGAGAAGTAGGAGGTCGAGGAGGAGGATGTCGACGACGGTCCCTCCCTCCCTCCTGTCCCTGTGTTCCTCGTCTCCACCTTTGATCTTCCCTGCCCGCCTGATCGAAGGCCTCCAGCTCACCAAGGCACCGGCGCACCGACCTGCAGGCAGAGCAGCGGGAGAGAGAGGAGGACGACGGCAAAGAAGGGGAGGACAACGAAGAGGAGGACGACGGAGAGAAGGACGACGCAGGAAGAGGCGGACGACGACGACGAAAAAGAAGACGACGACGATCGCGGGGGCGGGTCGCGGGTAAGCCGCAGGGCGGGTGGCGGGAGGATCGCGGGACGAGGTCGGTAAACTGCAAGAGCCAGAGCCCGCCCCGCAAAACGCGCACCCAAGGACGGTGTATGACCTCTCGGCCCCCTCACTCGGATGCGCTGTGTTTGCTGTTGTTCCCACCCACACCGATGTGTGTGCGCGTCACTGGACTCATGTACCATTGCATGATGACAGAATTCAAAAGGAGTTTCAAGTGCGATGAACCATACGGAGGTATAAGCGCGTGCCTCGCCTTTTTCGGATACCAGGGAATATGGGCGGCATGGAATCATGGTTCGAACAAGTGTCCTGGCATCTTAGCTCTGCGCCAGCGAACAACAATAAACTACGTCAGATTGCCGCGGCGCACATCACGAATGCACAGAAAAAGGGATACTGGCTGGTCCACGAGATGAACTAAGGATCTAGCACGCCAAGACCCACCCCGAATCTCCCGCGCAACGCACCGGGCCGCCCACCCATCCCGCCCCAGCCCGCGCACGCACACGCTTTGGAGGAATGGGAAAGACGGGTAATGATTAGTCAATGCGAGGATCCGAGCGCCTTAGCGTGAGCGAGCGAGTCTGAGCGGCAGAACACGAAAGGGGCTCAACGCAAGAGAGTCAGAATGGGAATGGATCATCCATGGCGGTTCCGCCTTATGTAGTCCTGATTCCATACTCGCTACATCCCAGTGATCATGGACCTGAACGCAGGGGAGTCGACGGCGCGAAACAGACGTTTCACCAGAGACATCCCCGACCAGGCCGCGAAAAGGCCCGCGCAACAGCCCTTGGCCACCCCCCCTCACAGCAGCCTTTGGCCCGCGGCCCACTGTCATAGATGCCATCGCGGTGAGCACGCGGCCCTGAAATAGGAGGGGTCAGGGGCGCGAAACAGACGTTTCGCCAGAAAGACAAGAGACAAGAGCCCGCGTCGAGGCACCTACGAGGGTGCGGCGGGAGGGCGCAGGGGCGCCGCTCAGAAGCCGTGGTCGGGAAATGGCAGCCGGGCAATCTGGGCGCGAACGGGCCCGCATCACACAACCTGGCAGCTCCCCTCTGGTGCCCCTTGGGATGCCCAACAAACGCGCCTGCTACATCGCAAACGAGCGGCTGCCATGAGAGAGAGAGAGAGAGAAACAGAGAGAGAGAGAGAGAGATCCCGGCAATCTAGGCGCGAACGGCCCCGAGACACACCCCTGGTCGATCCCCTTCTAGGGTTTCCCCAAAGACATGCCTGCTACATCGCGACGACCATTTGAGGCTCTGACCAGAGAAGCGCCAGCAGCCGCCAACAAGCATTATAACTCAGAGGCCACAACAATTTGTGCGCGAATGGCCCCGCGACACAGCCCTGGTACTCCAGATTTCGTAATAAAAGGGAGGGGGTCTCATTTCGGGGGGGGTCTCTTCCAGGCTATCTTGGAGGGCCTGGGGAGGTCTGGGGACGATGTTTTGGAGGGTTCTCCCACGGGGGGGGGTCTGAAATGGCTCGTCTGGGAGGGTTGAGACCCCCTCCCTTTTATTACGAAATCTGGAGTAGCCCTCCCATGGAGCGCCCGGACTCCCCCGCGCCTGAAACATCGAGAACGCCACTGGGGCTCTGGAGCAACAAAACCGCGGCGGGAGCCGCAACTGGGCAACCGGGCCAGGAAAGCCCCGACACTCTGGACGCACTTTGATCCACGATACGCCCGCGGTCGAACCCCGCGCCCTTGAGGCGCTCGCGTGCAACGCCTGCGACATCGCGACGACCATCTGCCAAGGGGACGCGTCAAGCCCCACCCACAAAAAACAGTACACCTGAGATGTTCCGACAATCTGGGCGCGACCGGCGCCGCGATAAACGGGTGGTCGACGCGTTCCCGGGGGCGTTCAAGGCCCGTGTCTGCGAAATCTCGCGCCGCGACTGCGCGCCGCTGGTCAACGCCGCGACTTGCCAGCGCTGTCCCGAAGAGTTCGCCTGCATTCTTCTGAACCGCCGCGCCCTCGCGTTCAGACTCGCTGCGAAGCTTTCCGCGCAGTCGCGGGCGGCGCCCGACGAGCTGCTGTCGTCGCTGGCGGCGCCCCAGGGCGAATCGCCGAGGGCGCACTGCGCGGTCGCTTGGTCGCTTGCAGCTCGGCGCGCCTCCGCGGACTTCGGGCGGCGGCGGCGGCCCCGCCGGAAGGACGCGCTGCTGCGCGGCGCGCGCCGGCCTCGTGCACTCGGGCGAGGCGAACTGGCCGTCCAGAAGGTGTGTCGTCGAAACGGCGCGCGGAACGGCGTTCGGGGAAACATTCCACGATATTTGGAACGTCGTTGCGCGCGACGTTCTGAGCAGGTCGGCCTCCTCGACTCGCAGGTCGCTTTCGCGCCGACACCAGTTCGCCCGGAAGCGGCACCCAGCCGCGCGAGTGGAGCCGAAGTGTCTGTGGGGCCATACGTGGAGATTGCTTTGCTGCCAACCTCTACCCCAGATTTCGTAATAAAAGGAGGGGGGTCTCATTTCGGGGGGGGGTCTCTTCCAGGCTATCTTGGAGGGCCTGGGGGGGTCTGGGAACGATGTTTTGGAGGGTTCTCCCACGGGGGGGGGAGGGTCTGAAATGGCTTGTCGTGGAGGGTCCAGACCCCCTCCCTTTTATTATGACATCTGGAGTATCCTTCTCGTCTCCTTAATTATCCTCGTCGAAGGCCGCGCTCTGACATGTCGCCGCGGCGGCCGTTGCCCTGCCCCCCCCCGTCCGCGCTCCCTTGCCGGTGGCCCTCCTGCCCCCTCCAACCGCTCCGTCTCCCCGCCACCCCCCATTGTTCCCCATCCCCTCCCTCCCCCGCCTCCCTCCTCCCCCCCATCCCTCTCCCAGTCCCTCCCCTGTCCTGTCTCTCTCTCTCTCTCTTTTTCTTTGTTTTGCTTTATAGTTGTTTTTCTCTCTCTGTCTCTCTCTCTCTCTCTGTCTCTCCTTCTCTCTCTCTCTCTCTCTCGCTTTCGCGCGCCCTTGTCAACTGCCACTCCTCTCTCCCATTCCAAGCCCCCCCCTGCCCTCCAGCCCGCCCGTCGCCCTCTGACCCTCTGCCCCTCCCGGGCTCTCATCGGCGGGGCTGCCCGGGAGATCCGGGAAGCCCTCCCGAACGTTATTCCGCTGAGCCGTTTTAGGGCCCTAAGTGGGCCATCGGACCAGCCGATCGCCGAGGGCCCCCCGCCAAGGGGCCCAAGTAGGCCGCCCATCCGGCCCATGGGCCCCTGAGACTTGCGCGCGCCCCGCACGAGGCCCCGCCGCCCCCCGAGGCCCCAAGTAGGCCACCCATCCGGCTCGTGGAAGCCACTCCGCGGGAACCCTCCCCGCCCGCGCCGTTTTGAGGCCCCATGTAAGGAGGCCTTCGGACCAGTCGATCGGGAGTAGGCCATCCATCCGGTTCATGGCACCCAGGTCCACTGAAGCGCCGGAAAAGCGTTCCGCGCCCTGGGTGAAGATGTTCCGCGGGCCAGGCCGCCCTCCCCCCTCCCTCCCCCCCCCCGTTCCCTCGCCCCCCGCCCTCTCTGTCTGTCTCTGTCTGTCTCTGTCTGTCTCTGTCTGTCTGTCTGTCTGTCTGTCTGTCTGTCTGTCTGTCTGTCTGTCTGTCTGTCTGTCTGTCTGTCTCTCTCTCTCTCTCTTTTTCTTGCTTTCTTTCTTTATCTCTCTCTCTCTCTCTCGTTCTCTCTTTCTCCCTTTTTTGTTGTTCTCTCTCTCTCTCTCTCTCCCTCCCCCCTCCGCCCCCCCCTCCGCCCCCCATCCCCCCCCCTCGCCCGCATAATGCACCTCCTCCATGTAGCTTTATGCAGCACCGAAATAATCCTGGCAAGAAACAAGAAAGCGGGAAAAAATGGCGACGACGATGCCCGCGCGAAATGGTGGCTACCGCCTCCTCGTCCTCCCCCATCAGCCCCCCCCCCCCCACCCCGCCTTCGCCAACGCATCGCGGAGTAGAGCAGCAGCAAAACAGAAGAGGGAGGGCACGGATAAAGCAAAACAGGGGTCGCAATAACATGGTGTACGTTGATATGCAAGCAGCGCGGACAGGTCGAGACAGCCCAGATGTTTTCTACGTAACCAAAGCTGCCTTCCACTGAAATGGTCGAGTCGCGCGGTGCAAGTGGGCGGTTGCACGGTGCGCAATCCCCACTGTAGTTTCCTGCGCCCCTTCGCGCCACCTACCCGATGAATGGCCAAGTTGTCCACGCGCCCCCCGGATGGCCCAGCTCGCCCCCTCCAACGCTCGTCGATTGCCGCCTGCCGGGGGAAACGGGCGTCTGAACGGCGCGCGCGCGTTTGCTCGATTAGCTGCCAGGCAAACTCTGGCACTCCGGCGCCCCTCTGACGTCGTCTAACGACAATGCGTCGTCGGCGACGAGGAGCGCCGCCGTTCCTCGTATGGCGGCAGCGCCGAAAGAGGGAAAACGACGAGCAAAGGCATCGTGAAGACTCCTGACAGCCGCGGCAAGAATTGGGCGATCACTGGGTTTCTGAAAAGGAAACGCGCCCAGAGCCGCAAACGGGCATTATACCTGAGAGGCCCCGGCAATCTGGGCGCAACCGTCGCCATGATACACCTCTGGTCGATCACTCCGTGGGGTGGCCAAGTACATTGCCTGCTACATCGCGATGATCACTGGCGCTCTGAAAAAGAAACGTATGCAGAGCTGCAAACAGGTGGTCCCGACAATCTGGGCGCGAGCGGCGGCGTGATACATTCGTGCACGACCCCCCCTGCGGGTGCCAAAATGCAATGCCTGCTACATCGCGATGACCCCTGGTCTCTGCGCAATCGCGGCAGGAATGAGTCCGACTGTTGTTGGAGATGGGTATGGTTTCGATTGCGTGTCTGCGAGCCGGAGTATGAACGAATCTGAACATGGTCGGGTCTGAACATGAGCAATGCGAACTAGAACCGCGTGCGCTTCGCGCGCGTTTGGGCTCTAGCCCAGCCCGCGGCGCCGCGATTGTCCTGAGGGCGGGGTTTGCGCGCGACTCGCTGTGGGAGAAAGGTTGCGACCTTCTTGGGCCAGTCATGGGATGACGTCGTGCGTCGCGCGTCGCGCGCGGTGAGTGGGGCGTCGTGCGTCGTTGTCGTCGTCGTCGCCGTCGTCGCCGTCAGTCGTGGTCGTCGTCGTCGTCGATGTCGTCGTCGCTCTCGTCGTCGCCGGAGGGGGCTCTTGCAGCCGAGGCTTAGATGGATAGATCAACGATCGCCAATTGTCAAGCCAAACCGAAGGCGCGACGGTGCCCGCGGGGGCAGATAGATGGGAAGAACTTGCGCAGACGTCTCGGTGCGACGGCGTCCGGGGGGGCATTTGCAGATAGATGGATGCACCACGCCAGCCGAGAAGAACGCGGGAACATGCGCAAATCAGGAAGAGGATGAGGAAGAATAAATGGTTGAAGAGGGCGAGGGCGGCGAGGGGGACCAGGCGGAGGAGAAAGAGGCTGCGGGGCAGGAGGCGCAGGAGGAGGCAGAGGGGGGCTACGACGGCTACGAGGAGGAGGGCGCGCGGCAGGCCGAGTCGCAGGAGCAGGTGGCGCCGCCGCGAATCGGGGGCACCTGAAGCTCGGCTGCAACCAAGTGACTCATAGGCCTGGCCTAATTAGGAAGATTTGCGGGGGGTACTCCAGATTTCGTAATAAAGGGAGGGGGGTCTCATTTCGGGGGGGGGGTCTCTTCCAGGCTATCTTGGAGGGCCTGGGGGGGTCTGGGGACGATGTTTTGGAAGGTTCTCCCACGGGGGGGGTCTGAAATGGCTTGTCTTGGAGGGTCCAGACCCCCTCCCTTTTACTACGGAATCTGGAGTATCTTGGGGAACCTCCGAGGTTCCGTTGGCAACAACTTTGAAACCTCTTTGGGCCCTGCTCGGGCCTGTCTGGGCGCCTCTTGGGGCTTCTGCGACGGTCCGTTCGGGGGCCCGACCTCTCGATTTCCTGTGGGGTGGGGCGCGCCGGCGGTTCGAGGGTTCTCGCAGGCAGTATTGGACATCTCTTGAAGCCTTTTCGTGGCCGTCCTGGGCGCCTCTTGGGCGGTCTTGGGGCCCTCTGGGGCCGCCTTGGGGCTCTCTTTGGGGGGCCCTTCTTGGGGCGGTTTGGGGGGCTGTTTCGGCGGGCGAGGTTGGTTTCCTGGGGCTCTCTGGGGGAGCATCATACAGCCCTCTTTGGGCGTTTTGGGGGGCTCGCGGCTTTTCCCGAGGCAGCCTCGGCACATTTTGGAGCGTTCGCGGGGCGTTCGGGGCGGTCTCGAGCAAGTCCTAGCGGCCTCTGGAGCCGTTCAAGAACCCTAAGGGCCCCGCCTGGGAGCCTTTGGGCCCGGGGGCCCCCGCGCCACGCCGCGGTCGTTGCTCCTGGTTCCAAGCCCGCCCCCGGCGCACTCCGATTGTATATATATATATATATATATATATATATATATATATATTTGTATATGTATCGAGAGAAGATAGAAAAAGAGAAAGAGAGATAGAGAGAGAGGGGGAGAGAAAGAGAGAGAGGGAGAGAGAAGAGAGAGGGAGAGAGAGAGAGAGAGAAGAGAGAGAGAAGAGAGAGAGAGAGAGGGAGAGAGAAAGGAGAGAGAGAGAGAAGAGCGAGAGAGAAAAAAAGAGAAAAGAGAGAGAGAGAGAGGGAGAGAGAGAGAGAGGGAGAGAGAGAGAGAGGGAGAGAGAGAGAGAGAGTAAGAGAGAGAGAGAGAGAGGAAGGTAGGTAGGTAGGCAGGCAGGTAGGTAGGTAGGGAGGGAGGTACGTAGGTAAGTAGGCAGGTAGGTCGCAAGTAGGTAGGTAGGTAGATAGATAGGTCAGTAAGTACGCAGGTAGGTCGGCAAGTAACTGTGCACTCGGTTGTGGTAAATTGTGCCCGGGGCGTCTTGGCACGCGTCCCGGGCGCCTCATGGAACCACGTTTGAACCTCATGGGGCCTCTTGGGAGCTGTTTGGGTGTTTGGGGGGGACTCCTTTGAGCATCTTGGGGGCCTCTCGGGGCCCTGCTGACGGTCTGGGGGTTCGACCTGAGCGGAGGCCTCAAAATGAGATTCGGAACTTCCCCTCTTGGGGCCCCTTGCGGGGCCATCTTGGGCGCCTCTTGGACCGCTTTGATGCTCTCTTCGGCCGTCTTAGGGCTCTCTTGGGGGCCTCTTGGGCCGTTTTTGGGCGATGCGTGGGGCTTCTTGGGCCGTCTTGGACGCCGCTGAGACAGAGGAGACGACCGCGCTGGAAACGCGCGCTTTCCAGCAACAAAGTAACAACTCGGGCCATCCAGGGCGCTCGCGCGGAGCATCTCGGAGGCCAATTCTGGAGCCGCTCGCCCGCCGGAGTTGCGTTTTTCGAACGAGTCTCGAGGCCGAAAAAATCTCCCGAGGCGCCGAAAAAAGGCCCCGGACCCCCGGGGCGATACTGGGCGCCCCGGGAGGGGGGAATTTTGGAGAAGCGGCCCCCCCCTGGACTCGGGGGCCCAGGCCCGCGAGCCCAGGCGCCGCTTGTACGATGCATCCTCGAGGGTCCAGTCTGCTACAATTAGCCCTGCAGATCCTTCATGAATTCGCGCAACCCCTGCATCCTTCATTGGTGGCGACAGCCTTTTCCAGGATGCGATCAGTTCGGGGGCCCCTCCTGCACAGGAAACGGCGGAGTATCGAACAGAACCAACGCGTAACATATCCTGATCCGAAACCGTTGGGGGCCCATGTGGTGCCCTTGTACATATGGCCGAGAGGGCGAAGAACACCGCTGCGGATGAGAACACGGAGAACTCGGCGAAGTCTTGCCAGGCGGAAAACATGCATATGAGAATTGACCAGTCCGACATGGGCGGCCCCGTCGCCAACGACATGATGCCCCCGGGCAACGTCGTCGGAGCGCTGCGTCTCAAGTGCGAGAGGCGATCATCAAAAAGCTCGACATCACCCAGGACGACGCCGACAGGCGCGCGAGACAGCTGTCGGCTGCCCTTTCGCACGCCCCCCTGAAGTGGAGAACGGTCGTGGACGGATCGAAGCTGCGCCCCGCAGTGAAGCGCATCGGCGAGATTGGAAGGCTGAAACCAGGCAGCAAGAAGACCTCGACGACGAGGGCCCCTAGACCCCCCGCGAGACCTGCGAGCGCCCCTGGCTCGGCCAGCGGGTCCGCGACGAGCCCGAGGTCGATCTGCAAGCCGCACCGCGCGAAGGCTCCCACGGGCATCCCGCTGCGCAAAGGGGCGAGGATCTTGGCGCCGCGCGGCAGCGGCCCCATCGGCGCCGCGTCTTCGCCAGGCGGCGCCGCCGCTGCTGCCGCCACCCCCGGGAAGAACCAGCGCGAGAAGTGCGCCAAGGAGAAAGGCGGCGTGGGGATCTTCGCCATCGGCCACGAGCGCGCGGCCCTAATGGGGCAAGGCGGCGCGGCGACCGCGGAGCACGAGTTGACGCCGGGGCCCGAGGGCACGCGCGCGGCCAAGGCGCGCGGCGGCGACGAGGAAACGGGGGCGCAGAATGCTACGTGCGAGACGCGGCCCAAGAAGAAACCACCGAGCCATGGCGCGCCGCTCAGGAGGCCCGCGGCCACAAAAAAACCCGCGGGGACACGGTGCGAGGAGGGGCGTGCCCTTGCCTTGCAGGAAGACTACGATGGGGGAGGGGGGGGGCAGCCCGAGCCCGACGAGGTCGAGGACCACGAGGCCCCCGCGGCCACGCCTACGCCCGCCGCAACGACGCCCTCCGAGAGGAAATGCGTCGTGATGCGGCACGAAAGGGGCGCGTGCAGCGCCGCGCGGGAACCCCTCGGCAACGAGCGCCGGGCGCGCGCCATCGGGATGAAGGCTGACTCCCACAGCGAAGCGAAGAAGATCAAGGCGACGGAGAAGCTCGCAGAATTGCTCCACGGTAAGGAACATGTAGCTGCTCGCGAAGATTTCCGCCAACATTTGACACGCGACATGACAGGTCATGACAGGACATGACAGAACAAACGGTTGCACTGACATCAGATATACACGGTGGCACCATACGGCGGGGCGCGCGTCTCCGCGGGTTCAACCGCGCCCTCTGCAAGCGAAAGGGCAACGAGATCTCGGGGCCCCCGCGAGGCGGTGGATCCGCGCGGCGCACATGCAAAGGCTCGGACAGGAGCGACGCCAGCGCCGTTCCCGCACGGCGGTCGGCGCGGCGGACCGACTGCAGGCAAACTGGTTTCGGGGGCGGCATGCGCACATGCATATGCATTCGCATATGCGCACAATGCAAATGAATTCCGGGCGGCGGCAGGCGGCGACGAGCGCGCGTTGGCGACGGCGACGGCGACCGTTGCGCGCGGACAGCCGCGCGCGCTCTCCGGCAAGCGCGCATGCGCTCGCGCGCGCTTTGCCGCGTGCATTCAAGCGCACTGCATATCACTCATCACATTGAAATGTATGTCGTCGTAACTATTGTAATTTATGAATATATATATATATATATATATATATATATACATATATACACATGCATGCATACATGCATCCATGGATACCAACTTCAGTTTTCAATCAACCGTTTGTTCAGTTCGCCAAGATTGTTCAACAAGTTTGCTCAGTTTGCCACTCGGCGGAAGCGTTGCGACTGCTAGTTCCGCCCTCCTGCAATGGAGGGCGCGAAGAGGAGAAGGGGGCAGTGGAGAGGGGGCGCTATAGTTACCCACATTGCAGGCGCCTCGGGCCTGAGAGGCCGCGCCGCCTCGCTGCCACGAAGGACGCGCGCGCGCGCCGCAGCGCCGCAGGGAGACAGCATGCTGCCAGCCATGCCTGTCGCTGTGCTGCTGGCACAGCAGACCAGCAAGGCGACGGCGCGCGCGGCGGCACTGGAACTGAGGGGGGGGAGAAGGAGGGGGGCGCGGGCAGCACGAGCAGAGCTAGGATGGCGGCGGGGAAGATGGGCGCAGGAGGGGGAGAGGAGGGGAAGGGGAGGGGGGAAGACAAGTTAGGTGCGCTCGCGTCAACATCTGACATCCTACCCCCCCTCCCATCCCTTGCCATGGCGCTGATTTTCTCTATCCGCGGACGCGTGTCGTAGCGGACCTGTGGCTCCGGGCGCGTGTGCGTAGTGGGTGGTGGTGCGCGTGCGCGCGCGCGTGTGTGCGTGGTTGTGGTTGTTGTGGTGGTGGTGTGTATGTGTGTGTGCGTGTGTGCGCGTGTGCTGTGGTGTGACGTGGTGTGGCGTCTTGGTGGTTTGGTGGTGGGCCAGGTGCGTACGTGCGTGATGGCGGTGGTGGTGGTGGCGGTGGTGGTGTGTGTGTGTGTGCGTGTGTGTGTGTGTGTGTCTGTGTGTGTGTGTGTGTGCGTGTGTGTGTGCGTGCGTGTGTGTGTGTGTGTGTGTGTGTGTGTGTGTGTGTGTGT